GAAGATCAAATCAAAATCTTTCATGTCGCTGTTTCAATCATCAAAGAGTCAAACTTGAATAGTTTTTGTGTAATAACATTTTTCCCATGGAAGTGTATGTTGTTGAAAGACATATTTATTGGTAGCCATTATTATTAACTGTCTGCTTGTTGTAGGTAAATAAAAATTTTTTTCGTTTGCAAAAAATATGATATAAGGAAGAATTTTTCTTTTTACAACAAACTATAGAAGGTGAGTTCTGCATAAATAATGTCATTTTATTTACGGTGAGAGTAGTAGATAGTAATTAGTAGGATTTTCTTTAAAAGTATATCTTTTACTGCCAAATTTAAAACAGAAGGATGTGTTCATTTCAATTTCTTTTTTGCTAAATGAGTTTGACAGATTTAAGATATGCAGGAGTGTCTCAACGCTACAAGGATCCAGTGGTCAACATGTCACGATGTAGTGTTTCCGATCTTTTTGATTGGTAGATGAGCTCTGAGAAAATATAGATACAGGAAGGGAATCATTCACAATTCACCGCTTGAGAATTCACGATAGGTATCATCTATTCCTCAAACGCATAACTTTACTTTAAGATAAAATAGAATTTATAATTAAACGTGTTTCTTCATTGATGGAATATGAAAGAAACATTTTTCTCTAAACTTGAATTTCAATAAAGCAAAGTTTAAAGTTCGAAAGATAAAAAATTATACATTCAGCATTTATTTCTAACAGAGACCGAAAATTGATTGACTACTACAGCTTGATCATATCAAAGTCTCTGACGTTCAGTCGAACGATGTTGTACCTTTAAGGTGAGTTATCGACAATCGAATTTCTCGTACAAGAATACATTTGCTTCCGCAACTTTTCTAGGGTAAAATGACTCTTATTGTTATTCTAATTGTTATTGTGATCATTGTCATTGTATATTTTTTTTCTCAAGAATAAACGATAAAAATCTATTGTATTACTACAAGTTTTCAGATAATTACTCAATATATGTACGTTGATAAACACATCCAGAGTCTACAAAGGGAAGTAAACTACTCCCTTTCTAAACATACCCGATGCTGAGACTACACATTCGATTCTTTGTTCTTATTATAGATTAATTAAACAAAAACTCAGCATTGTGACTTATCACTTCAGCAATATTGACTAGACTTATTATTGATACAAAATGGTGGAGAAACATCGCTCTTTTTTCAGTTAATTACAAACGATGACTGATATTTTAACATAGGCTGCGATACATGTGGCATGAGTTCTTATTTACCATTGAAGCGGTTCCATCATGGTTCAGTTTTCAGTACCGTATGGACGATCCTGTAAGTTTTTGTCAATTAATGACAATCAATCATTTGCCAGACGTCAGATATACGCTCGTAATAGAGCGACGTCCCATACTATAGAAATCAATGAAAGCGTGAATTTTTCAAGATGTCAACAGTCAACTAAAAAATGTACCTTTCTCAATTACGTAAGATATTTTAGATATAGAGTCGGATTTTTTTTCTGAATCTATTCACTTTCCTAGTCCAGAATATAGGTGTGGATTGGGAGAAGATCACACTCTTATTTGCATAGATGATCTCATTATGTTTCGTCATTCATTCATTTCTGATCATTACACTACACGGTGACGTGTTGAAAAGAACACACTCCGATGGACAATAGGAATAGTTCAACAAAAGTATGCTGATAGTACAATAAACGATTGAAATATTCCAAAAACTCTGACCCTCTTCAACAACAACTCTTAATATACAAAAATTGCTACTGTTTGTATCGACATGACTTCAATAAAGATGTTCAACATATCATTCATTCGATTTGTGAAATGAAAACTATCGAGAGATGAATTAATCGATAAAATAATGATATCAATTAAGTGATAGTTTGATCGGAGAATCAAAATTCGCATCTTTTTTTTCTATGTTGAGAGTACTGATTTCTGAAATTCATATCCATTTAGTCATTGTTGTTCTTTTTCAATAGGCAAATGAACAACTCTTTATTAATAAAAAAGACATTGGAGAAGTGTCGAAGAGCATTTTAAATTACTTAATGATGACTTCTGTAAGATACTTGTCTCAACTATAATACTCTTCATTTTTTATTTCAAAATAGTGAAGTTTTCCAGATAGGTGGTAGACGTATTCCACATATTTCAGTGCAGATACTCAAAAAATACTGTAAACCATATTTTATTTGAATGTTTTTCCAAAGTATAGTTATTCTATGGTTTTGTTTTCCAGAGATATGATAGACAGTTATTATATATCATTGAAATCAGTCGTCGAAACGAATATTCTTGGCATTTATATTAGTTGTAGATGATGTGAAACTTTGAAAATATGAATATATTGGCTATTAATGGAGTAAGACTGCATTTGGAAAGACACTAGTAAAGATTGGGATTATATCCATTATGATGACTGGATCAGTCTTGTTCTCGTAAGATAATAGAGAAATAGTTTTGAGACGATTGAAAATCGATCTTAACTGCTTGTCTGTATTTAGTAATTTACGTAATTTTTTGCCTAATTGCATCTTCATTTTATTGTTTATCCATGATAGATGTAACTCGTTCACATTTGGTGCCAATATGAGCCACATAATCAATGTCATTGCATCTAATCTATCAAGGTCATATGAATGAATATCAAGACATTTGACACGAGTCAGAACTGTTGCCATCGATTGAGACTTGACCAACTACAATACAATGAAGTTCACAATTGAGATGAGAAAGAATCACTAATAGTTATGTGATCTTCTTTTTGCATTATTACATAAAGGATCATTTCGAGAGAGAGATAGCAAAGATTTTTTTCAACAAGTCCTGGCCCGCAATCAACAGATTTTAAAAGAAAAACTTCTATTTTCTAGAAAACCTTTCGAAATGCTAAGGACATAATTTTTGCAAAAACTATGACTTTATTGCTTTATCACACCTAAGTAGAACAAAACTTTTTATAGTTCGAAATTTAGGCTCTCTTGAAAAATATACGTTTGTATGACATTAAACTTTCATAAATTTATCTTGATCTCTGTCCCTCCTATCTCTATTTTCATCCTCGAGATGATCAAGATGCTCATATGAACGAAAGTCATGATAGAAACTCACCTGCTCGATCGATAGGGTATATGGCAAAGCTAATTTCCAATAGTTACAACTCAGTTGTTGATTGCTTGAACGAAAGACATGTTCCAATACACGTAACAAGTTCATCGTTATCGGTTGTTGACTATTGTTGAAAACCTCGATGGATCTCACATTGGTGAAGTAAATAAGTGGTGAATCAAGTTGACCTTTATTCAATCGCCAGACTTTTAAATTAGGCGAAAGTCTCAAAGACATAGGATAAGTACACGGCATCGAACTAATACATATGTGATCATAATCATCTTGTAGAATGAGCACAGGTGGTTGACGATCATCAAGCCACCAGTCACTCTGAAATTGTTTTAATTGGTCTGCAATGATGATTTCTCTACTCTGATATTTGATAACAAATTGTAATTTCTGCAGACGTTGACATGGTTTAACTAATGCCTCAAGATGTCGTCCATTCAAAAGAAAATTATTAGTATGAACTATCAAAGTCAGCTGTTCCAACGACGATTGATAAGATTTAATCAATATTTCAAAAGGAATTCGATACGAATCATCCAAATCATCATCATCATCATCATCATCATCGGTACAAATAATATCTAATTTAGTGAGATGTGTGGGTCGAGGAATTAGAGCTGCAAGAGTTGAATAATTCGAAAGGATATGACTTGGTCGGAGACGCTTAATCTTGAGACCGATTAAATTAGGAGCGAGAATGCAAAGACACAGTAGATCATTTTCCGTACAAACATCGGCCGATAAACGCACCATAGCTGGACAAGGAAAAGAATTGGTCATTTCATCAACCTACAACGAATCATATTCAAGAAATGATCAAGAGACGTTGATCTGACTCATACACACACCTGTTCTTCTTCAGTAATCCATGCCCTACTACTACTGAACGGCGAGTATTTATCGATTCTTTCCGGAGGTAACATTTTAGATAGTCGAAGTACATTCAAACATGACATAATTGCTCCTATTGCTGAATAATATGTGACGTGCAATTCGACAATTGAGGGAGAATCATATTTCAAGATAATTGAACGAAGATTGACGAATAAATGTGTACAAGAAAAGGCATTTGGTACTGATGTAACATCCAAAAAGAGTGTTTCAATGACATTTTCGATGTGTGGCATCGAAGTGAGAAACCAATTTCGTGATATCTTTGGAGGAAGACAAAATTGACGTACCGATTGGATAACAATCGAATTGAAGCGCCAATTGAGATCAATGAATGCTTGAACAAGATCGGGCGAACTCAGATAAGAAATAATTATAAATAAGAGCTCGTTTGGTAAAGTTTCCAGATTACTACTCAACGATAATATAAAACAAACAAGCCTTTTATAAATCATCTTACCTTCTTGCAATAATCACATTTGTCTGTTGTCTCTGAGTACTCACGATATTCATTTGATGGAGACAATGTTGTATGAGATGACTGTCTGATATCGCTCTGGTAGCAACGCATTGATTGTTAGACGTAGAAACTTGAAAGGATAAGTTGCTTTGATCTTCGTGTTCTAGTTTCAGCCGTTTACTGATCCGATGATCTTTATCTTCTTCAAATAAAAGAAGAAGCATTCAAGAGAATAATGAGTAAAGAATAGTACCTAAATTCTTCCGGCAGTCGGTACATGACACCTTCATTGCCTGATTCTCAGTTGAATTCATTATTTTAAAATCTGAAATTTGAAAACCGAACAAACATATAGTTATTTTCGATATTGGCATCGCATTATTTCGATGTTATTTTCTTTGAATTAGAAAATTGTCGAATGAAATAACATCACATATATTATGTATAAATTTTAGATTCAATATTGAGTCACGTTGTGACGGCTTTTCAAAGCATGAAAAGTGGAACTGTTTTATTCCACAAGTTGAAAAAAATGGCGATCTATACACTGAGCAGTAACACTAATCACGTGTAGAGAAAAAAAATAGTAAGGGCAACTAATTAAAAGAAAGACAAATGAGAGATGACAATTGTCAGACAATGTCAGCTTTTGAAAAAATTTGAGAAAAGTTGACAAGAAGATTCGGGTCGATCTCATCATCACTATGGTAATAACACGAAATAACCTTGACTTGCCTAATTCGATCAAGAATCGGTTTGATACATTCGTCGATCTTCAATAATGTATTCAGTTCTTTTGCCAATGTCTTTTTGGCAGTGTCACTCTTTTCACTCAAATTCAATTTCGTCACGTTGGGTGCCAATGAAAGCCATACAATCAATGTCATCGCATGTAATCCATTGAGCTTAGATGAACTCAAATCAAAATGTGTCACATGGGGCAATACTGGCATCACTGATTTGGTAGTCATGAACTACAAAAAAAACCATAATTTAATGACATGAACATTTCTTTTGATTTTAACATCTTCTAGATAAAATTTGAGAATGAGATCATAGAGTTTTAGTATTATTACTGGAGATAGGTCTTGATGAATTTATGAAAATCGAAGAAGGATATATGTCCACGACTTGGTGGTCGAACATATTTTCTAGTCTTGATTAGCTGTTTTCGAGAAAATCGGTTTATAAAATTTTAAACTGAAATTTAGCCTGCAGGCATGTCAAGTTGCTATTAAAATTTTCTGAAATTTTCAACAAAAATGAATGTAAATTTCTTGAAACATTGAACTTTCAAAGCAAGAAGTATTTACTAAGGAAAAACATAGTTGGCAAGTGCAGCTGCCAATCTAATATTTCAAGAAATATACATTTGTTTTTATTGAAAATTCTAGAAAATTCTAGTAGCAACTTGACATATCTACAGTCAAAAATTCAGATCAAAACTTTATTATTTGTTTTTTTTCCAAAAATAGCTGATCAGAGTTAGAAAATATAGTACATAAGTTATAATACAAAGTCGTAACTCATGAAACAGTTAGGGTAATTTCCTTGCTAAATTTTTTTTTTCAGTCAAAAATTTATGTCTGAGAATAAATTCAATTTCGTTTCTGTTAATAATCATGCGACAGAGAAGGATTACCGGAACGAACCTGCGTAAAAAGTGACTCTTCATAGTTCAATGACCAATAGTCGAATTTCAGTATTTGATGATCTGAACGAAAAATTCGATGAATGAAACGTAACAAATTGAAGTTGATTAGCTGCAAGCGATTGTTCTGGAAATGGATTGATCTCATTTTGGTAAAGCAGATAAGTGGTGAATTGAATTCTCCTTTATTCAATAGCCATCTTTGAGGATTGGTTGAAAATTTGAAAGTTACAGGAACAACACAGGGCATCGAACAAATCAACATTTCATTATCATTGTTGTACAGCACAACGACTGGTGGTCGACAAGCATCCAACCACCATTCATTCTGAAAATGACTCAGTTGCTTTGTAGCATTGATCTTTTGAATCTTACATTGAAAGACGAATTGTAATTTCTTAAGACGTCGACAGGGTTGAGTCAATGCTTGCAATTGTTTTCCATCGAAATTAAAGTGATCAGCACAAATAATCAATGCCAAATGTTCGAGAGAATACTGACACAAACGAATTAATTCATCAATGGAACTCCAATATACTTCAGTGTCATTATCAATAGCAATATACAATTGAGCTAGATGTGTGGGTCTGAAATTCAGAGTAGAAAGAGCTGAATAGTTCGAAAAGTCGTCATTTGCCTCGAGAGATAGAATCCAAAGCTGGATCAGATTGGGCGCGAGAACACATAGAGAGCGTATGTCCTGTTCCGTACATTGTTGAATAGATAAACGCACAATAGCTGGACACGGTAAAGTATTCAAGATGGCTGCAGTCTAAAAATGATTACAATCCCAAGATATAATAAACAGAAGAAGGCTAACTCACACACCTGCTCGTAATTATCAAATCGATTTTGTTCAGGCCACCATAAAAAAACATCGTCTGATTCTTCGAAAATCCAAATATTACAAATTCGAAGAATATTCAAACATGATACAATTGAACCGAGAGCAGAATAGTGTGTGACATTCAATTCGACAGTGAAAGCAGACGAATGCTTCAGAATGATTGATTGAAGATTAAAAAATGCATGTGTACACGAAAAGATATGAGGCATCAAGTCGATATCCAAACAAATCGTTTCAATCATATTTTCAATACGTGGTATATATTTCATAAACCAAGCTAATGGTGTATCATTAGGTAGGATGAAATGACGGACAGAAATCAATATAATCCTATTCAATCGCTGATTGAGACCATGAAACGTTTGAACACGATTGGGCGAATTCAGATAAGATATTATCATGAACAATAGCTCATCGGACAACGTTTCAAAACAACTATAAATTTGTCAGCGAGAAAAAAAAATAATCGCATTCACATGTTCGATATTAAAAAATAACATCTTTTATTCTTACCTATGAGAAACATTGTCATCGATACGATCGTTATGATCAAGTAAATCTTGAATGAGACAATTATGCCGTTTCTTAGCGACACCATGTGATAGAGCCTTGCCAGTTGTCGTCTGGTTGTTGGCTATTGGAAAGTGAATGATCAAGTTATTCTTTTCCACATCATCTATTTTCAGACGTTTTCTGCTTGAATCATTGTTATCTTTTAATCAAAAAGTAAGATATATTTTATCAGAAACTTGAGTGACAACAGTACCTGACTCATTTGTTGAGTGTTGGCCCGGGTTCAACGTCGTCTGATCATGAATAGCGTACATTCAACCTCAAATCTGAAACACACATAAATGATCATTGAATTTTTTTATGCCTTAAAAAGAAACTAATCGACTTGCAGCATTGCAATTAAAAGGGATTCAATGAAGTCAACTGTTTTTCCTTGACTAAACAATAGGTTTTTTTGAGTCGAAAAAACAAGCTGAATCATTTTACACACAATTTTTATCGTATTTCATCATACATCATCTTTCTCGCCTATTCTGTTTTTACAAAAACGCCTTCTCACTTGTCTCAAACAGGTTTTTCTTTGCGCGGAAGAACGAAAAAAACATCGATGAGTCACTTCACTAGTTGGATAAAACCAACGACACTGAAAAACATCAAAATAAGTGTGGGTGTGAGTGTGAGTTTGTGATGGATATGGGTGTGGGTGTGGGTGTGGGTGTGGGTGTGGGTGCGAATGTATGGATGGGTTTGAGTGTGTGAGTGTGGGTCTGACATTTTATTTCATCTACACCCACACTCACACCCATCCACACCCCCGCACCTCACACTCACATCCACACCCCCGCACCTCACACTCACATCCACACCTACACCCCACATCCACCCACACCCTCATTAACTAATAGGTTCATCGGTATTCAGGAAATATTGATTGTTCTATTCTGTGAAACTGACTGTGCACATTTTCTACTTTGGAGAAATTGTTCTAGAGAAGCTTGGCTCTTTCTAACAAAGATTCTTTCTACATAGTTTGAATATTTATTCAATAAGAATGAGGACTCAATTCAATGTTTTTTATCGATAAGAGAATGTCGTCATAAATCTTTCTGAATCAATACGGATCAAGAAACTACTTCCTCATGATGCTTTTTCCAAGACTATTGACGCTGCCGTATTACCTTCGCCGATTGGCATATCAAGAAGTGTTTGTGATGAATAAAGTCAATTTTGTCTAAAATAAAATTCGCAGAAATGACTCAGAGGAAGTAATGTAGAGGTAATTATGCATATAAATAACCATTGTTCGCAATGATCAAACTACACTATATGCATTCTATGATACTTGTTCGATTTCTTTCGTTACTGATCCTCATAGTTGAGTGTATTCTCAGCCAAGAGTATGTTGATTCTCTCTCAGGAGGCAGCTGGCAAATTGTAGTTCCACAAAGTGGTGGTGGTGCGCGTGGAAAAAGTTTAGGTATGCAAACTGCTCATGCGGTGCTTCTCCCTTCCGGTCGCATTCTTCTGGCTAGTGGAAGTAGTTGGCGAAACCGTGGTCCCATTGAAACTTATCCGCACACGGCTGATCCTCAAAGTGGTCGTGGCATCTTTCGAGAAGAAGAAGATCCATTTCTTATCAACAAAATAGAAGACTATTATCAACTTGTGAACAATGTTGGGATCTATGATCCGAGCAAAAATACATTCTATCGCATTCCACATCCAGAGCCCGTTCCTGATCCGAAATGGCCTGAACATTTTGCACCAAATGATTTCTTCTGTACAGGTCACTTGCATGTTCCTGATGGCAACGTACTGTTTGTCGGTGGCACACAATACTATTATCCGTTTCGAACAGGTCACCGAGCAACATACCTGTTTGATTGGCGAAAAGAAGTCCAAATTCGATGGAACAACGTTGATTGGAGACGCATGCCCAGTGATGCATTTGTGAATGATTCGACGAATCCATGGATTTTTGCGGGTACGTGACTTTTAACAAACATTCATTTGAATGTTATGATCATATTGACGATAGGATTAGCACTGATCGAACACTGATTATATGATTTCCCTTGTGTAGGTTTGATGGAACGAGGTCGATGGTATGCCACACTGGTGCCATTGATTGACGGTCGTCTAGTTGTACTTGCCGGTTTCGTTGGCTTTGACAAAGGCTATCCAGCGATGTACGCCTTCGAAAACAATGATTTCCTTGAATTTTTCGATGCTATATTGTTCAATGAATCGAATCCACAGAACGCATGGAAAAAAGTTCGTGTGAAATCGATCGTCAATGGACCCTTTACCAATCTGATCAACCCTACTTTTCGACCGACGCCAGGTGTGAATTGTACGAGCCGTTGCATCACAGACAATCAGTTTGATGTATTCAAACTATACGAACAAGCCTATCTGACAGCGGAAGGACGCATCTATTTAACACGGGAAGGTGATTTTGTCAGCGCGAGAACTCACGATACTGCTTTTATGCGGAAAACAACGGCTACCTATTACGTGCATGTTGACGGGTCTCGTCAAGCACCTAAAGTGTCATTTTCGCCGGGACCCAATAGATCTGAAAGTGTCTCATCGTATGGAACGACGATTCTCGATCCAAATAGTAATCGGATTGCTCTTTTCGGTGGACAACCGACATCAGCTGGTACTTTTCTGTATCAATCCGACACTAGTCAAGGTAACGTAAATCACTAAAATTGAGCTATTGTTACTATTCTTGCTTTCATTATTATAGGAAACCAACGTTTCACTGGAGGTCGTGGAAGCCGCAAGCTAGAACAATTTCATGCTTCTATCTATGAATCGAATGGTGGTCACTGGACCTTAGAACCATCTTTTCTTGGTGAACATTCACAGGATGATCGAACCATGCACTATGCACTCCTACTTCCCACTTCGCAAATTCTCATCATCAATGGAGCGAACTATGATTTTTATAGGTCGATCCATTATCCAATTTTATTAACACCACAATTTGATAATATCAATGGCACATTTCTCGGCTACACGAAGAAGCGCATGAATGAAGGTGTTGAAGCTCGTCTTTATCATAATGTCGCTCTGCTATTACCAGATGGTCGTGTGTGGATTTCTGGTGGCGGATCAGCTCGTGCTACGATTCATTATACGCCCTTGGCCCAGAAACCTCTTGTTGAGCACAACACTAGTTCATATGAACAACCATTGCCTGACACTTCCAATATCGATTTAGACGTGGAAATGTTTGACGATGGCCGACTGGCAAAAAATTCACGCGGTTCACTTAGTGTTCCTACCGAAACATGGATAGCAGAAATCTTCAGTCCTCCCTATCTGTTTATCGACGGCAAAAGACGACCAGTGATCGTTTCGTTGGGTCATCCTCACAAGGTGAATTATCAATTTGAGAGTGTCATCGATGGAAAACGCTACTATTTACTTCGTAGCAATTCACAATACACTGTAAATTTAAACTATCTGCCGACACAATGTGCAAGTGGAACCAAAGAAAAGTTGGTTATGATCAAACTAGGATCAGCCACACATGGATGGGATAGTGGACAACGTCTAATCAATCTTTCCTTTACAAGAATGTCATCGACATCAGCTCTTTTACTGACAACACTCGATGCAAGAATAGCACTCATTGCACCTGCATTCTACATGATGTTCTATATGGATTGTATGGGAAAACCATCTGTTGCACAGATAATACGATTTGATGATCAAGCTGTACAGCCATAAATAGAACTTGTTTTTAACAAAAGTTGAATTGCGTTTTTTAAAAATAAACAAAGTATCTTGCCGCTGTTCCATTGTTCACATGTAAACTATTCTTAAAAGTAGAAATTGCCAACATTGATATTTGAGAATCAGTTGCGAAGCGAATAAGTAATCGCGTACAATACTTCACACTAGACACATCATCCCACCGAGTTTTCTCTATGTAAGAACAAAGTGAATCAGTCTGATTGATCAATAAATCAAAGAGTGAAATAGCATCATCAGCGAGAGTGTCGTCGAAGAAAAAAAGTACTTTGTGAATGAGGAATTGAAATTGTGGATTGGAATCGTGAATCTGATTTGATAGCGATAAGGACGAAAGGTAATCTATGTGTCCCTGGAGTTTTTATGATTCTTCATATGAGTACTGAAGTAAAAGTTTCTGAATCAACACTTTACGTGTCGTGTAACACTGACTCTGAAGGTTGTGGATGTTGTCTAGGTAGAAGAATTGATGTGCTTGCCGGTGTAAATGAATCTTCTGGTTGACCGTAACCTCACATCGAAATCCACATCCGCATACACTTCACCCACACCCACACCCACACCGAACCACACCCTAAAGTGTTAAATAACTGAATACTTGAAAGTAAGTTCAGAAACTGAATTGAAGTTTCCAATACTATAGAATAGTTGAAAACTTGAATAATTGAATTGAATACTTGCATACTTGAATTCAACTTTCAGCTTTGACACTACTGGAAAAATCTTAACTGAAATGAAAAAAAATGATTTTATTATTCTTTACATGCTTCTTATTGCATGCATCATATTGCCTGTAAAATGTGTTGAATGAATTAGTTTGCAAATCATTGGTTACCAAATATAACTGATTCGTAGTTTTCTTCGAAAACGAAAAAGATATATTTATTTAACAATAAAATTTTCCATGTTGCTTTATCAAGTAGCTAGTTTTTTATCTATTACACTATTTAAATAACGATCATAGAATTTCGTTTGTGGGTCGGCCTTATATATTTGAGGTGGTTTGATAGAGTCTCTCCAATCTTTACTAAGCGTGTGTATACTATAATAATCAGTTAAATTTGATCCACTATTATAATTACTTGTAATAGGTGGTAGATAAGAATTTTGATTATATATTGCAGGTGGAGGTGAATGAGATGAATCTTCTGTTCGTTGAAAATAAGGTGTTCGTTCTGATTTCTTAAATGAAGCATCAATAACTTGAAATTCACTATCAATATATTCTTTGGATGGTGACATATAATGATGATTATGATGATGATGGTGATGATGACGATGAGAATGTTGTTGTTGTGATTGGATAGGAGAATGGTGGTGGTGATGATGATGATGATGAGGTTGCTGAGATTGAGTAGGAGAATGATGATGAT